TAGACATTAGGAAGAAATTCTTTATTGCTAGGGTGGTGGGACACTGGAACAGGTTGCCCAGGGAGGTTGTGGAAACCCCCTCCCTGGAGGGTTTCAAGGCCAGGTTGGATGGGGCTTGGAGCAACCTGGTCTAGTGGGAGGTGTCCTTGTCCTTACAGGGGGGTGGAACCAGATGATCTTCTAGGTCCCTTCCAACCCAAACCATTCTATGATTCTGTGACCCTATGTTGATGAGGCCTTCTACACACAACTGGAAGTAGCCTCAAGATCACATGCCCTAGTGCTCATGGGTGACTTCAATCACCCTTATATTTGTTGGAAAGCCCACCCAGCTAGGCATACTCAGTCCAGAAGGCCCTTGCAATGCACTGATGACAACATCGTGATGCAGGTGGTGGAAGAGCCAACAAGAAAAGGTGCGATGCTGGTCCTCGTATTAATGAACAAAGAAGGTTTGGTTGAGGACTTGAAGGTTGAGGACAGCAGTGATCATCACACAGTAGAGTTTAGTGTTGTACAAGGAAGAAGCAGGGCAGCAAGTAGGATTGCAACCCCTGACTTCTCTTAGGCATTGCATTTGTGCTTTATCTAAAGCACTTTCAGGCAAGAGAAAAACGCTTGTTCAAATGCAGCCTCTACAACATTGTTCACAAAGCCATCTGGACACCAACTAAATTGCATCATGAGTCCAAGACTATTTTAGCTGCAGACAATCAGAACAATGCCAGGATAAAGCATTCTGAGAGCACAGAGATTCTGGTTACAACTGGAGGCTTTCATCAGGAAAACGATTTCTCTTGGGCTTTCATTAGAGAAGTTTTCTGCTTTTGCTGGAAATCCTCGAATAATTCTTCCTCCTGCCTAATCCTGATGGCTCTTTTTAAAATGTTATTGATGGCCCATTGTCAAGAGCCATCCTGTGCCTGCCAGAGAAGCGGGGGACATGAAATAGTTTGATTTTCATTGGTGGTTTCAGTATTTCAAGCCATGTTGCTAAATTTGAAAAACAGGCACTGGGAGGAATGGGGTTAAGACAGAATGTTTTTTGGGAAAAAAAATGTCTTATCCTTGGGTTTTAATTTGATCAGGCCTGCTGCCCTGGCTGTTGGGAATGCACTGTGGGGGCTCTGCCTTGATTATGACTGACTCCTTCTTCCCTGAGAAACATGTTGAATAAACAGCAGTTTACCTTCCTGCATGTGTGTGTGTCACTCTTGCACTGCCTGAGAGCACCTGTCCACCCATGTCAGCAGCACAAACCTTGCAGAGGGCAGGCAGAGGCTCTGTCAGTGCTGTGGGGTGGGCCTGTGTTGTGGCAGTCCCACGTGTCTAAACCCCAGATGGCCCAGATGATCCTGTGGATGGTCCCTGGAAATACAGAAAACTGCATTTTTACCCTAAGAAAAGTAAAGACCATGAATGGGGGGAGGGGGAGAGAAGACATGCCATGGTGCTGTCCCATCCCAGCACAGCATGGTATGATTTCATAGCTGTATGAGTTCATGATTTCGAGGCAGCACCTGTGGAGTTACAGTCAGTTCTTGCTCAGGCTTGAGGAAGGAAAGGCACTGCAGCCCCAGTGACACATGGCTTAGAGCACAGCAGGAGCCTGAATGCAAACTGCCCTTGTCTGAAAACCACTGCTGAAGGCGGTGTGCCCCAGCAGGGCTCTGGGCCTGCAAGATACTGGGGTGGGGAAAGGCAAGGTGAGGCAGCAGGAGCCTGTCAGAAGCAGCAGAAAGGTTGCTCTTCAGCAGGGAAGGTGCAATTGTGCAAAACAGCACCTAAGCCGGCATCTGGTCTGTTAGTCAGAGGGAGCAGAGGTCGTTCACCAGGGAGCACCCAGAGCATATAAAGGAGGAGAAGCAGGAAAAAGACATGTGCTTGCTGGGACAAGGGCAGCTCAGCAGGTATGTATGGCTTGGCTTTGCTTTGGAAAGAGATGTGGTACAAAACTACGGGAACTGCTAGAGGTTGAAGGGGTACTGATGGGGAAGGGGGAGCAGTGGAAACAGAGGTGAGATTTTCTACCCAGCAAACTGCTTCAGAGCTAAACCAGAGCTTGCCAGGTGCTGCTGAGGGGCATCTAGACAGAAGTGGGCAGCGGAGATAAAGGATGGCAGTTTTTGTACTGTATTGTTCATTTGTGCACATATACGTGTGCCTATATATAAAAAATGCTGCTTTATGACCTTGATTATGACTTTGGTGAAATATGGCTGCATGCACCTCAGGATTCATTTTGTTCCCCTCAGCCATTCCAATGCCTCTGGTGGTGCCATGCAGCTGTAGGTTTGTGGGCACCCAGGGTGATGTGCTGGGTGTGCTGCACCCAGGCCACCTCTCAGGAGGATTCTCCAGACTGCCGCCTGCTCCGTACTACACCCCCCATACATGCAGGGACAGTGCATGTGTGTGGCAGTGAGCACTGCTCAGCTCGTTTTTTCACTGTGTGCTGCTGTTAATACTGTTTGGCAGTGGGGGAGCACTTCTTTGACACGGGAGGCTGGTGGGCTCCTGCCCCTACACCTGCTGCTGTTGCTCATGCTCTCATGCTGTCCCTGTGTGGAACCCTGTACAGCCCCTCCCTGCACTGCATCCGCGTCTCTAGTCTCCCCCCTCTTGTGGCTCCTGCTTCTTTTGAAACTATCCAGTGCCTAGGCTCCCCACGGGGGCTGTCACTTTGGTGTGCCATGAGATGGCAGGAATTCCCTGGAGCCTAGGGCATGAACAAGCAGGGACAGCTGCCCAGGGCAGGGGCAGGAGGTGTCCAGGAAGGGCTGGTGTCTGCCATGGCCTCTGCTGCACCCTAGGGTGCTACAAAGGTCCCTGTCAACAGCCGTGTGACTTGCCCAAGAGAGGGCACAGCAGCTTTTTTTATGCTTAACAGCCCTGTTCCATAGGAGCAGGAAAACACCTTTGTCTTTTAACCCCTCGGTGGAGGCCGATGACTGATGCAATCCCATCAGCTGTCACTTTGCACTTCAAGGCTGCCTGTCTCCTAATAGGAATGGATGCCAGTGTCTCAGATAGGGTCAGCCACACTGCTGCTGCCTGCAGAAAGCTGCAAAAAGTCATTAGCAAATCCCATGGGGACTTTTACAAGTTTTCTTCCCTCTTGCAGCATAATTCAACATCCCTTTTCCTCTTCACGTACTACCCCAGGACAGACAAGGTCTGCCATATGACAACAGCCTGTGTCTGACAGCAGAGACTTGCTCTTGCCAGTCTGTAAACGACAAGGTGCTGCAGGAGCTGCTGGCAAGAGGCACTGACCCCTCTGCTGCCTGTGGTTTCTCTCTGGTGTCAGCCATGGGTAATGCACTCAATGGCATCATCTGAGTATTTGACATAGTAATATTTTTATTCCACTGTGTTCCTGGAGACTTGTGTTTAATATTTAAATTCCTTGTAGGTGTCTAATTCTAATGCAAAAAACATCCCTTTATAGTGTTTTAACAGAACGTACAGAGATTGATGCCATCATCCCTTGCTGCAAAATGTAAATGTTTCCCCTGCTTTTCTTCTTGCTCCTCACAGTGTCCTGAAACTCTACTGCTCCCTTGTCACACAAGGGAAAGGAGCTGAGGGCAGGGAGGGGAGGGCTGCTTGGTGGGCATCCCCAGCTGTCACCCAGGCAGGCAGGACAAAGGCATCAAAGCTGGGCAGGGGCAGGCAGGACGCGAAGAGTCCAAAGGTGCTCTGTTAAACATGGTAATGTCGTAATGCCCACTGCAGAAACACCTCTGGGCTGTGCAGGGAGGCAGAGTCTAGAGGGGAACTCCCTGGGGACCTGCCCCAGGACTCCTCCCGGGGCAAAGGAGCAGCAGCCCACACTTACGGGGTCCAAAGCTCAGGCTGCTTTCCTAGTGATTATTTCTTTGCTGAGGACGTGTGGCTGTGCATTGGGAGCAGGAGAGAGCTCTTGTAGTTGTAGCTCTAAGAGCTCAGGAGCCTTTGCATCTCATCCATTCCCAAGCTGCTTAGCAGAGTAGTGCAGAGCTTGGGCACAGGGCAGAGATTATATCTGTATGGGATTTCCTATGGGAACATCCTATTTTTTTTTCTTTTTTTCTTTTTTTCTTATTTTTTTTTTTTAATTAAAGTTCCAAAGCTGAAGTGAGAATGGCAGAGGGTGGTCCCATGGTGCCAGGGGATGATGGCAGGGAGGGAAGGGATGGCATGTGGAGGTGAAGATGGAGGTGCAGGTGGAGTCCATATGTAAGTCAGATGGGTTTGGGTATGGTGCTATGGAGCAGGAGCTTTGCTGCCTTCAAAGGCTGCAGCCCCTCAGTGGAGAAGGATGGGCAAGAGTGGGGCTCCAGGGGCCCTGGTGGCCGCAGGGAACTGAGGAAGAGGAGATAAGGATGAGGCACTGGAACAGACAGGCAAGCAGAGGAGGAAAGGAAACTGGTGACTGGGCTTAAGGTAAAGGAAAGGGACAAGGAAAACCAACTGCTTTGAAACCTGCCAAGAAAGCAGGTGAAGAAGGAAGGGAAAGGGAGAGGCAAATAGGCTGAGAGGCTCAGGGAACAAAGCAAAGATTAAGGAGACTCTGAGAGCTTGGGAAAGCTATGGTCAAGCTGTAGTAGCTTTGGGACACTGGAAACATTAAAAAGAAAGATAATTATGAAAGATGAAGTGGGGATGAGAAGACAGAATTGAAGTTTTGAAGCACCGAGGCTCTGAAGCAGAAGGACCTCTGTTCTTACAGAGGCTTTTTATTTGCATAGGCAGGGGGATGAGGTGCTGCTGTTTTATGGGGGAGCTCTGATGCAAAGAACAGCAGCAGCTCCTGGCAGAGCTGTGCCTCCACTTTGCGGTGGGGGTGGTAGTGCGCTGGCAGCAAGGACCCCTCAAAGACCTGTGCTGCCCTCTCCACCTTCAAATGCAGCAGCCTGAGCAAGACACCCCCTTCAGAAACTCCTGGGGCATCTTCCTCTGATGGCTTTTCCTTCCAGACCACAAGCTGCCTGTCGGGACTCGACCCTACGCCAGCAATGGCCTCTCAACATGTGATCACAGTCCAGCCCCAGTTTTCGACTGCCCCGCAGGTGGGCCAGTGGCAGACGGGGCTGATGGACTGCTGCTCCGACTGCAGCATCTGTGAGTACACACCTACCCCTCCTTCCTGCTGTTGGCTCACAATGCACTTGCTGGTGTTTTTCCTGTTCCTTCCGTGGCATCGTCCCTGCTGCAAGCCCCACTTCTGTGGGTACCAGCAGCGGAGCAGCTCTTGCCTGCAGTCAAGAGCCACGGCTCCCGCAGCTGCTTCCCCAGGCAGCCATTCCCCCTTTCCTCCTACTTTGAACCCCCCGGACAAGTGTGTCTCTCACTGTGCTGCAGGTCTTTGTGGAACCTTCTGCTTCTACTGCCTCGCCTGCCAAGTGGCCTCAGACATGGATGAGTGCTGCCTGTGCGGCTCCAGCATGGCCATGAGGACACTGTACCGCACCAGATACAACATCCCGGTCAGTGACCAACCACAGCGCCCGCCCTGCTGGCAGCAACACCCACAATTGGGTGCTGGGATGCAGGGTGGGGAAGGAGAAAGGGGTGCCTAAGGGGAACAGCAGCAGCAGGAGTTGAATAGGCAGCCCTCCAAGCAGGGAGCCAAGGACACATCTGCATCCTTGCCACAAGCTGGGGTAGTAATCCCATTGCCTGCTGCCTCATCCCAGTCCTCGCTGGGCATGAGCAGCCACGTGTTGTGGGGCTGGGGATGAGCTACCCAGGGGTGTTGGCAATGAAAACCAGGAAGACAGAATCTGACATGGGGAGGGGTTGTTCATACAATGTCCCTTGCTCCACAGGGCTCCCTTATGGATGACTACCTGGCTGCCATGTGCTGGTCTCAGTGCTCACTCTGCCAGCTGAAGAGAGACATCAATCGGAGGAAGGAGCTGGGCATATTATGGTAAGCTGGGCATGTGCACACACACACACAGACACCTGGTGTGTTGAGGCACGGCCCTGCTACCTGACACACCTCTCCCATCCCATTGCAGATACTGCTGTACTGACAGTACCTTGTGAAGCTGCTGCGGGCAGGAGTCACTGTGGTCCTGGCCCTTAGGAAACGCACCGTGCTGGGTTTGCCTTGATGGTGGTTGATTCGCCCTTCCCTGGGTCAGCAATAAAGAGCAGAGTTTGCCTTCCTGTCTCTGTGTTATTTCTCTGTGTCCTGCAGCACCAGAAGACTGTATTTTATTTTCTGACTGCTGTGCAGTCAGAGCAATACTGAGGTTATGAGAGAAAGGTTTTCTCTTGCAAACCTACCCTGGGATAAGACCAAACTACAAAAGTCAGTGAGAAGATAAAATAAAACAAAGTGAAAGCCAAGCTTGCTGCAGCCAGCTCACCTTCTCCTCTCTGGGCTTGAGAGCATGGAACCCATCCCTCTTTCTGCCTGGACTGTTCCCAACACCAAGACACCCAGGGAGACAGCAGAGGATGGTGATGGTGACAGTGCGGGGATCACAGTCCCATTTACCTTTCCCCACACAAACCTTCTAGGAGCCCAAAGCCTGGGAGTTGCTTCTCCATGGGGTGAGACCCCTGCAGCTGCAGGTGTGAGTGTTGGCTGTAACACACTGTGGTGGAAGAGTCAGAACAATCTACACCTCGCTGGGACTTGGGGGGACAGCGGTTTATCCTTTACCTGGCAAAGAACACAGAACAGGCAACTTGGAGGCAAGGAGCCCGCAGCAGTTAACCCTGAGCCTGGATGAGGGGCACCAGTGTTCTGAGAAGCATCAGGGGATGCAGGAGCTGCAGATGATGCCCACTGAGTGTCCAAAGCAGCATCTGCACAGCCCCACACCTAACTGCACCATCAAGGCTGAGCTGGGGACTGACAGGCTCTGGCTGCTGGCTAAGCAGGGGGTCTCAGGGTCACAGCACAGGAGAGGTGCTGTGCCACAGGGATGGGAGGCTGCTGGAGCTGCATGCATGGTAATGTCCAGCAGGAAAAGACACACGGAACCTGCATTTGGCTGTTGCTCCAGAAAACCCCACTGCGGGTGGTGGTGTTGGTTGTCGGGCACAAGTGTTGTTGGGGCTGTGGTGGTTGTCTCTGGGCTGGGCTGGGCTGGGGGCTATGTGAGGTGGAGGGAGGTCTGTGGGAGGTCTTGTCTCTAGTGAGGGTTCATCTGTCTGGGAGGTACCAAGTTACTTTTAAACCTCTTTGGTGTAAACATGCTAAGTGGGTGTAGTACAGTGCTTTCCAGAGCAGCTGTTGCTGGAAGCTTGCTGTTGTCATGGTTCATGTGCTCACTGTCATTGCTTGTCTGTGTGTCCCAAGGAAGTCTAGGCTCCCTGCTCAGGTCAACAGGGGTGCCTGTGGTTCCCAGCTCAGAATTTACCCCTCTTGGCTAGTCCATTACAGGGTCATCACCCTGCAGCTGGGCTGAGGGACTGGGCTGGAGGAGAGCTGGCTGGGCCAGGGGCTGCCCTCCTCTCACTGCACTGTACAAACACAGGCATGGGGCAGGCAGTGCCCAAGAGGAGGTCAGTGCTGTGTGGAGAGCTCCCACAGCCCCCTAGACCAGAGTCCCTCCCAGAAGGTTTGTGCCTTGCCATAGCAGGGCTGGGAGCTGCAAAGGGAGTTCAGGGAAGGTGGAGAAAGACCCAGTTGCACCCCTCTGGCAGCCCCAGTGCTGCTCCCTGTGGTTTTGTGCTGTGGTGACACGCAGCCTGCTTAGGAGAGGAGTTTGGGCGAGATGCTCTTTCTCACCTGCCCTTCTGGGAAGAAATGTGACTCCTCTGGCTGGCAAGGGGACAGGCATCTCCTGTGGAGTCTCTTGACCTGTGTGGGGCTGAGCCGTGCACCTGAGAGCTCTGTTTTTTCTTTGTTTCACAGGGAAGGAGACTGTTCCTTCGTGCTGCCTCCTTACCTGCACCCTGTCCCTACGCTCAGCAAACCTGCCCCAGGAGAGCTGGGGGTTCCCCACCTCACCTCTGTCCTCAGGAGCTGGATTGGGAGAGACTCTCCACAAAGAGAGGGACACATGGCATGGATTCAATCCATGAGGGAACAGTCTGGTCTCCCTGCTCACAGTACAACTTGCCTCCCTTGTAGGGGACAGGTCTGCCTGTGCCTGCCTGGCTTTTGGCTGACAGACACCCTGACTTGTTACAGCTCCAGCTCATAGACACTCTAGCTACAGTTACTGGGCACTCCTGGTTCTCACAGCTCCAGGTATTTGAAGGTCCAAGTTACTTCAGCTCCTGCTCCAAAACATGGCTCTGGCTACTGCACAGTTGGGATATGAGATGATCAGCCTCTGGCTAACAGACACTGCAGCTGTACTGCAGCTCCAACAGATGGACATTTGGGCTTCTCTGACTTTCAGGTAATTAAAGCTCCAGCATCTTCTCCTTGACAGTCCAGACATGAAGTGCTCCTGCTTGTTACAGTTCTGGCTGATGAACAGTTGTGCTTCAGGTAATTTCATCTCCAGACAATGCATGTTCCAGCTCAGGTTATTTCAAGCTCTGTGTTAGTTTAGTTCCAGCAGCTTCCAGCTCTAGATTGTAGAAGCTCATGCTCTGGATTGTAGAAGCTGCTTGTTACAAGCTAATTGCAGCTCCTTGTTAAAAGCAAATTAAAGCAGTCTTGGCTTTTAGCAAGGTCATAAATCAATCATTGCCATAACATGAATATTAACTGCCATAATTGTACGTTGTCTTGGTTATTTCATAACTATTCTCGTCGTTGTACAAACCTTGAATAAAGAGTTGGGAGAAAAAGCACCTTTTCCCTCAGGGACTAGTTTCAGACATTGAGTTCAGCTTGCTGAATGCCAGCCTCCTTAACCTTGGGGATCAGCAAGATCAGAGTCCCAGCTCGGGTGGAGGTGCACGCTCCCTGCCTATCCCTCACCTTGCCCCTCTGCCCTCCCATTCCCCCACCATCTGCCTAAAGTCCCTCCTGAGCCTGTATTTTGGAGGCTGAAAACTGCCTCTGTTTCCAAGTCCCACAATGGAGTTACTTCGTCTTTTTCTGTGCTTCAGAAAAGCAGCACTTCCCCTCTGCTTTAGAGCCCCAAAACCAAAGTATTCAGTCTGTTTTCCAGCCTGAAAAACATGGACAAGCTCTGAAAACATAGGACTTAAGTCTTTTTCTGAGCTTCAGAAACACAGTCCTCTGCTTTTGAGACCCAAAACCAACCCCCAGATATTGCTTTCAAGGCCCAAAACACAGCATCACGTCTGTTCTCAAGCAATAAAAATACAGGATTTACTCTTCATTTTTAGTCCCTGAAACACAGCACTTAAGCTCGGGTTTTTTTGTTGGTTAGTTTTGGTTTTTTTTCCCTGTGCTCAAAAACCACCCTGTGTCCCTGTGGAGCATACCAGCAGCATGGGCAAGGCCATTTTATTTCAGACTTACTTCCCCAGCACCACCAGGCACCATCTGCCACTCTCCCCACACCCTCCGAGAGGCACAGCAGCCATGACCCATGACAAGGAGCTGTGCTGGAGCAACCCAGGAACTATGTCCCCATATCCCCCTCCCCAATTTCTCCAGCAGTGCCCTGACCCCTTCAGCAGCAGCAGGGACCTCCACCCACCTGAGTGGGTCCTGCCACTCGTTCTGCCCACCAGAGCCATTACTGCCCCAGCAGCCCAGGGAGCTGGGGTGGGCACACAGGACACTGCTGCTGCCCCACCAGACACGGCCACAGCCCCACTGTGAGAGGGCTCACCCCACCACACACACACACACACCCTTCCCCGCTGTTAGAAAACAACTCAGACATGCAGAATGACGTGGTTATTTTGTGTAAGGTGCACCCTGTCTATATATACACAAGTTCAAACTGCAGTCAGAGAGGCACACAATTAGTACCACAGCGCTGAGCAAGGACGTCCTGCAATAACCAGGCCTTGAAGAAGGCAGTTAATCAAGAGGTTTACAGGGTGTGTCAATGTAAATCACCAGCTTGGCAGAGAAGACTTGAGGTCTGCACAGATAATTGAACCTAAGGAATGCAGGAGGTGATTAAGCACCAGAGTGGGGAAGACTTACTGGCTAAACCAGTCTTGGACAGTTGGAGCTTTAGAACTCACAATACTGTGTCCAGTAGCTGAACTTATCTCATTATAATGTCATTATAAAACTAAGAATCACACCCTCTGGTCAAAAAGACCTCTGCCCAGGTGAAGACCCTTCCCCTGAGCATGCGCGATAGTAGCCACAGTGATCTAAACATATTATAACTGTATGCAAATCACTAACCAATCACTGTTAGGATAGACTTGGAAGTTTACTAACGTTATAGCTTTGTGTATGAATATATCATGAAAACTCCCATTTGGTGTGCTTGATCTGTGGGAGGGCACAAAGCACCCAGCCTTGTACAAACATGAAATAAATAACGTCTCCTTTCTTAATATACTCTCTTTGTCTGCTTTTCAGGAGTGATCTCAAAATGCTAACACTGGAACATGGCTCTTGCTCTCCCCTCATTCTGTTCCTGCCCAGGAGTCCAAGCCAGTCAGCATGACCAATGGAAGGGGGTGTTTACTGAGCTCATCTCAGTGTGAAAAGGAGTTGAGTAGACGATACCAACCGCTGATGCCGTTGGCCTTGAGCACTAATTACAAGAAGTGGTAATAGAAAGCACTGACTACTTGAACTTACTGTTCACTTACCTCATTAGCATGCTAAAATACACTTTCTTGGGCTCATTAAAGCCCCCCACCCTCTGAGCATGCACAGTGAGAAGCGCTGCCACGTCACGTGAGGGCAAAGGACCAGCTACCCAATAATGTAAGTAAACAGTATTATCAGTATTCTTAGAGATAAGGCCATTTTGCGTTCTTTGGTCTCATAAAAGAAATCCTGTGCTATCGGAAGGTGTGCTAGCTTTATGAACTGTCGCCTGGCACCCATTTCCATGCAGAACTATA